TTTTTTAGGGGGGGGGGGTTACCACCTTAATTTCGGGAGGGGCACACCCTTAAAATGGCCATTCTTCGCTCTCAACGTGATGGCGGGAAAAAAATTCAGGGGGGGGGGGGGGGCACGTGCTCGGTGTGCCACCCCCTCGATACGCCCCTTGTATGCAGCGATTTCTCAGCTCAAGAAAACAGTCGTACAACCTGCACAGTACTTACATCGATATGTATGAGCTGTAAAATGGTGTATTGCTGTGTTCCGTATTGAAAGTCCCGTTCTGGGAAAACACCCAGTATTTCTTTTCCCCAATTCCCAAGCAATGCTGAGCTATGTGCTAAATGGCAAAAGAATATTTCGAGAGACAACCTCATTACCAAAGAAAACTGTGCATCGACTGTCGTATGCAGCCGACACTTCCACGAGGAAAACTATGTGCCTGCGTGCCATATCAGAAAAATTCCCGACTCTGTGCCTACCCTCTTCGAGGACTACCTTCGTACTAAAGGCGTTGATGACAGCCACTCCGGACGATCCGCAGATCTCATAGCCGCAAAATTCAAAGAATTCCCCTCGCCAATCATACCAACCAAATGACTGATGCAAATGTCAAGCCTTTCATCTACACGCACAAGTTGATTAGGAAGCATATTAGGTGGTGAACAAGATATTTGTTAAGTCCGGCAAAATATGTTCAAATATAGTCAGTGCTTACGAGCAATAAATATTTATTTTCAGACCTCAGAATGTTTACACGTTTGATGGAGGAGTGCTTTACTCCTGGCTCTTGCATTTAAGCGCTTTTGGATAGACTTAAGCTCGATGCACATTGCGCATATAAGTCCAAATAAACTTTTTTACGTCTGCAATGGTTCGGCATTCTTCACGTGTTCAGATATGAGGTGCTGAGCTGCATGGTACATCAGATGCTTTCAATGTCAAATAAGTGTGCAAAAATCTGCAGCTGATGTACAGGATGTGACATGCGAAACCCTCCACGGAAAAACATCTTACACCATTTGAAGGGGTTTTACTGTGTCTGTAACTAACATCTTTACATCCAGGCACAAATGTATTTTGTCAATTCAAGGAGCCCATTTCAAGGAGTGCTTTCACTACACTCATGAAAAAAGAGGATAATAATTAAGCTGTCAGCTTGGAAACATTTACTTACATAAGCTTCACATACACGCACGTATACACATTAACTTAGCAAGGAAAATGCAACATATAGCTTACACAGTCATATACTGAAGAAGATATGGCATCCTGTTTTTTTTTTAAATCTTAGTTGTTTAACATCAAGAAGTTCTATTATTATAGGGCACGAGGTACGTTACATGTACTTGTTCTTTTCTGTCTCCATGGGGGAGGGCCACTTTCAACTTTCGGCTCGTTATATAAGCGTACAAATGTGGTGAAAAAGAGGAAATGCACCCGGCTTCTGTGTCCCGGCATCGTTCCCCACGCTATCGTGCGCATAGGCCCAAAAGGTGGTGGTGGTAGCAGGAGTGGGTGGTGTCACACTCGATTCATCAGACCATCTTGAGATCGGCTAAAAGTACACCACAAAATGATAAAACTTCATAGATTACCTCCTTTAAATTACCCGAACCTACCTATGGCTAATTTTTTTGCGGTGTATTTCGGTAGATAAATCGTTTATCGAATTTACCGTCCCTATGAACAAACTCTTGATCTCCGTTGCCTACAACGTCCACCTGCGTCTTAGCTGGCACTGGTGGTAGTGGTTAGAACAGGAGAAAGGCAGCTAATTTCTGCAGCCCGGTTGGGAGCACGGCGCAGTGCCTCTGGCACTGCCCAGGGTTTCAGTGGGCTGACAGGAGGCGGCCCCACCCCCACGAGGCAGAAACGCACTTGCCCGCTTACTGTCACGGCCACTTGATCAAAACATGGTGATCAATTGATTGATTGATTTGTGGGGTTTAACGTCCCAAAACCACCATATGATTATGAGAGACGCCGTAGTGGAGGGCTCCAGAAATTTTGACCACCTGGGGTTCTTTAACGTGCACCCAAATCTGAGTACACGGGCCTACAACATTTCCGCCTCCATCGGAAATGCAGCCGCCACAGCCGGGATTTGATCCCGCGACACATGGTGATCAAAAGACATGGTGCGGCCTGCCGCGTGGAGAGGATACAGCGTCACCTAGGTATTCTGTGGCGTCACAAGCGTGCTCCGGGCTGCCCTAGAATTACGGTATGTTCAATCTGGAGCACATAATGCCACTTAAAGCTAGGAAAGTAATGACACTCCTCTGCGCGCTCCTTCCCTCCTCGATTCTCCTCGCCCGCCTTCGGTGCGTGCTGCTGGCGGCACCATTTTTCGCTGCGGGCACGTATCTAGGACCGCTTGCGCGCCAGTGTAGAAACTTTTGAAAACGGGTGATAACAAGACGGAGAAGACAGCAGTGAATGATCATCAGAACATAAGGTTCTTCCATTCAAGGACTCTGGTTCTTCCAAATCAAAGCCGTGTAAACGAGGCATGCTAATTTCAAAGGTGCTTTCTACTTTTATGATGCAGACGTTTTTTGTTTTTTTTTCTGCAGCCTAACATTCTTCATGTTTGCAGCCGATATACTTTTGCTTGTGACAACTACAATAGATGGGACAAAAAGCAGGCAGCAGCAACACTCACTATTCGAGGTTCGTGTCCCTGTCAGGGGGCTGCTTCCTGTGCCTCGCGGGAGATTTATGGGAAAATACTGTTCGAACTGCAATGGGCTTGAAAATTTTCCTTCACTTAAATAGTTGTAAAATAAGCGGCTCAAATCAGTCTTCAGTGAAATGTAGCGTTCAAAAAACAGCTTATCGTTGAGGCACTACAATTTCGTTTTACAGAGATTCCCTGAATTACTACGTCGCAATCATGCTCGTAATTGACTGCAAAATCTTCGTGGTAAAAACAGATCCATTTTATAATGTCGGATCGTGTTCACCAATATAAAGAGCTCATGAAACCGCAAAAACGCGCTTATAAAACACTCACCATCACACCAAGGATTTGCTCAAGTACGATGATTTCAACACCCCATGCACACCGCCTGTATCTGCGAGAAAAACCTAATAACACTCATCTCATAGTCATGCATGACTTGTTGAACTGAATGATTAAACTTTATTTGAAGTTCGGCAGTTTCCTTCGCGTGAGGTGGGGGAAGAGGGCGATGAACTCCTGTCTCTTCCCACCCTCCGTCGATTATGATGGCGGTGTCTAGGTGGCCGAAAAAATTTTAAAGAATTAAATGAAGCCGCAACAAAATCCTAGCTGGCGCTCTGCCCTATCGTGGGCGTGTTTGCAGCTATTACTAAGGCGAGAACCTGAGATCTCTCAACCATATAGTTTCTCAAAATTATCAGCAAACGTGAAATTAAAACCTCGGGCGTTCAGCGTCAGTGGCGTCTCGCATCCCCCGTCATTGGAGACGAGTGATACAAAAAATTATCACGAGATGACGCCATCATAGACGTCACAACGCATGACGTTCCAGGTTGCCAAAATAATTGGTTACTTCAATATGATGTCACTGAGGCTTCATGTGACGTAACGTCTCATAATTAGAACGTCATCACATATCGTAAAACGGTCAAAGTTGTCCGATTGCGGACGCTATGTACCGCCAAAAGCTTTCGAAGGGTGGCGGGGAGCATCAATACATCAGCTGAGGAGAAAACGATGACTTTCGAATCCAGTGAGGTTTTTTTTACGGCCTGCATTTTTTTATACAAGTAAATGGAGCTCGTATAAAAAAAAAGCTGGAAGGATAGCGCCTCTAAAGCTAGTAAGCCGTCGTGTGCAGTGTACCGGCAAAATTCACCCCTTCCCCCCTATCTTTCCCTGACTTAACGCCTGCAGCTTTTCTTCGCACAGCAGGTCTGCCCGCGTCCTCGCACGCGTGAAAACAAAGTTATAGGATTACGATTTACGGCCGCACCCTTTTGAAACAGGCGGTCAAGGACCCGATGATGCTGATCGGCAACCCGTCTGCTAGCTGCCGTCACAGAACACCTGGTTTCTATATATACTACCTTTAGGCTTTAAGGTAGGTAACCTAAAGGTAGCATGTGGTACTGAAAGCTTCCTCCGTGACCGAAAGTAGCTCTAGGGGAGCGGGCCATGGTGCGTCGCATCCGCACCATGGTCCGGGAGCCCACCAAGCAGAGGTGGAAGAGTGGTCGGATGTCTCATTTTGAATTTCAAAATTAGGCCCCACCCAAACGGGTAAGGCCACCCAAAAATTGGCCTATAGGCTCATTGGAGTGTCCCTCCCCACGGTAATCTTTAGTAAAAGGCGAAAGATTAGTGTGTTTAGAAAAAATTTATTGCCACAAACGTCAATAACACTCAACAGAACATTTCCGTCTTAGACATACTCTAACGATGATAAGACAGACGTCATTTACATGAACATGGATATGAGATGACGTTGAAAAAACATGTACATTCGATGGTTCACTCAAACACAACCACAAAATACTTTAGTGCGTAGAAATTGAGGAGAGACCTGAGCGATGACCGAGAAAGTGGCCATGCCGGCGCATGGGACTGTGTCCGACCACACGAGAAAGTCAAGGTTACACATATGTTATTTGCTGAAATTCAACCCTGTATGTTTTATCGATCTAAACGAATACATGTGGATGTGTTTATTGAAGCAATGGGAGCAGTTCTCTTAATAAATGTACGTCAATATCTGTTTTATTCATCTGTTTTATTTTATTATCGTTGGTGTCCATCACTGGTGTCCATCCTTCCTCCGTGGTGTCCATCATGTTCCGCTCATCCGACACGCTCTGGTTACTTGGGAATAATTTTATTACTTGCGGTGAGCAAGCGTACAGTAAAATAAACAAGAAGTAAGCAAGCAAAAAAAAAAAAACTGCTTATTTGCGGTCATTGGCCGTTTGCAGACACATGGCCTTGGCGTGATTTCTCCGGAGATCATTTTTTGTGTCTTGGTTTTCTTTCGTTTTGAAATCAACATGGCGGCGCCCATAATGTGCGAATGGGTGTAGTTGGTTTACGCCGAACGGCATGGTTCTGTTTGGCGTGAGATAATCTCCTTGTATCACCATGCCTGCCTTTCGCTCTGCGTACGACTGTACGAGCACTGACGGACCAGACGATGTAAGTAGCGTTTCACAGCGTCCCTAGATAGAAAAATGCTGCTCAGTGGATCGCTGCTACGAAAGGGAGTACGGTATTTCAAGCACTGTTCTATACTTGAACTATTTTAATAATAGTGACTGCTGCCAAAGTTTATTGCTATTGTGTATAAAGAGAATTCCGGTGGAATCTACTCGACTGAGGCCAGGTGTGTGGCCGTCCGTCTTATTTTACGAACGAAACGAATCGCAGGAATCGACAGCAGCACCCTCGAAGAGATTAATGTTTGAGCGTATTATGATTCAACTCTGTGAAACGGGATAATTCGCGATGCTCTTGCTTGCGGCACAAAAGTGACAGGTACACACCCCAGCGTCTTAAGCATCGACCGCTCGCAGCACCAGTGCCTATTTGCTGTACCTTCACGATTCTCCACCTGTAGTGGTTTCGCCACAGAACACCCATATGTTTCGCGTGATTACGTTATAAACTCGTCTGCTCCAAGAGAATTTCCCTAAGCAGATCTCTGTTCAAGAAGCACCAACTTCATTTTCAAAGTTATAAACTTTCATAAGGTAAGATTCCCACAGAAACAACGAAAAAAAAAAACATGTAATATACTAATTAGTTCCTGCATGAAGCATTGGTGGCGCAGCGTGTGCATTATGCGAGCCGGTGGGTGTGGGGGAGAGGAAGGTGCATTACGCACTTGCAAAGTACTTCGCTCAGGGGACATGCTGTAAGTTGACGTGGTTCTTGAACAGCAGCAGTGCCAAGTTTGGCTGACATTACTAGTTTAAGAAGAAGATTTGTCGCTGCTTGAAATGTTTTGCCGATGAAAGGACTTTAGCCATTATAGTAAAATACCAGTATTTTGCCATAATCGGGAAATATAAAAAAAATTTCAAAACGATTGAGAGTAGCGCACTAAGACAGGACCACTGAAAAGAACAGACGTGCGCACGGCAGAGCTTGTTGGTTCCTTTCTGTGGTCCTGTCTCATTGTGCTACTCATGACGGTTTTTATGTCCAAACACCAATTCGCTAATTAGTCCGCTCTTTTTTTACCAGAATTACCTGCTGTGCTGTTAGCGAGGGGAAAATTTCTTAATCCTACAGCGCTGTGTTGAGGACCTTTGCAAGATGAAGGCAGTGGAGTATTTGCATGGGTGTGTTTGCGCACAGCACCAGACACTGGTTGACCTGCATTTACGGTGCGTAGGTCGCCCTTAACCATGAGCCCATGGATGTGTCTGCCAACTTATTCCAATTGCATTGTTTCCACTTTGGACTAGCTTGTTAAGCTTATGCTAAAAACTTTCTCCCCAGGAGACACTGAAGGTGTCTATAGTTAGATACAACTTTAGAAGGTTGTGGCATTCCCACTGCAAATGCGGATGCACACAAGCCTGCACTAACTGGCGCCCACCCCAGAAACATGTCACGAGCCAGTCAGTCCGCCTTTGGAGAACACTGCCGCTATGGTGTACTAGAAGGGGACAGTGGGCTCACTCTCCAGCAAAGGGTATGCGGAGGGGTGGCCCCACAAACGGCACACGTTTGGGCTTCTCTGTTTACCCGAACGGTGGCACTGGCATCGTTATCAATGAAACAAGTTTGGGAGCGACGTTGCAGCTGAGCCGGTCAGCTTCTGCAAAGCAGCAGAGTTCGAGCCACGTTGTGTTGCTGTGGACATTCTTGCGCCGAGTTTTTGCCATCAGCTTTGAGCCTTACACATCACGCTAGACGTCGGTATGCTTTTCAGTGCCTGAGCCATGCCGTGACAATGGCAAAACCACTGTTATGCGCCTGGGTGCTAAACAGGCTATGTGTTCGTAAAGAGTGCGCCAAAGGTGTCGTTGTTTGGTGTCCCGAAGGATGAAAACAGGCGTAAAGAATGATAGAAGAATCTGCACGGTGTGGACAATCCCCTAAGAAACACCAGCGCAGTTTGCGAACTCTATTTCAAACCGCGTTATGTGCTGAGGGGCTATGTGCATATTATCGATTGAAAGGAAGTACGGTACCTCGTGGAAGACCCATTTCATGCGCCGATGCTGTGCTGACTTTTCTTCAAAATCTGCCATCTTACCTAAGTAAAAAGGCAACCCGATAGAGGATCGTTCGTAAAAGGAACAGGAAGCGATCGGAATCTTTGCAAGGTAAATTAATGCCGGCATTCTGTTTTACCGACAATGCGGTGTCTGGGCCGTGTGCTCACACCGACGGCGCTGTTTATACAGGCTGCAAAGAATATCTATGAGCATCTGCATCTTCATCATCTGATCTTATGAATCGGTTTTATTTTAACTTGAAAGTGCGTTCGCTGTATACGGGAGAAAACACAGTTTCCCTGGTCATGCCGGCACTGTATACTGCAAGTCCGTGTTGACCACTAATGCAGAAGTACTCTCCGAGAAGGTGGTAATGTTTTGAGAGTCGCAATGTGCCACATTCTGCAAAGTGCTTGCTAGAGGCGTATTGACAAAGGAAGTGCCAGTGCACAGCAAAACGGAGGCTGAGGTCGAGCTGAGAAAGACTGACCGGTTGCAACTATGTGGGGGTGAAATGAGCCGCAGTGAATATGATGAAGCTCTCTTCACAACCAAGCTCATTCTACAACCGAAGCAGGACAAAAAAATATTTAAGCGCTACAATTTCACTTCATAACAACGGTGCAAACTCTGGCGGCATGCCTACATGTTAAAACCTTTCTAGGAAGTGAACGTGCAATGTTTTCTACTTATGTCATGGAAGGGCGGGCATAATCTTGTTACAAAATCATTTTACATTCGGTTTACACAGTGTGAACCGTGCATTTGGTCACTATCAAACCATATACTTTGTAGGATACATTATCCTCCTCGTTGAGGTGTTATATTCGGGAAAACACAATGGGGCCTGAACAAATATAGTGCTTGTGAGAAATATTAAAAGAAAAAAAGTGCACCTGCCACCCCAAAAAAACACACACTCACTGAAAAAGCATTAACTGCATCGCACTAGAAATAAGAAAGAACAGGCTGTACAGGCTGCCGTCGGACTGATTTTCAGGAAGCAGTATCGCAAAAGAAAAGAGAAACACTACGAACCAAGAGCAACATACGCCCTCAATATTGTAACGCGGACTGAAAGAGCAAGGAAGAAGAGATCGGACGCTCTCGAGCGATGGTGATTCGGCAGTGACGGTAGAGCGCTGACATTTTTCAGTGTAAATAAACCCATCACATCCGTAACAGCTTTGGTGGAGGTGCTACCCCCGGACAACATCAGCATGAACAACGACACAGCAATCCCATTGACGTACTACGCTGCTGCGTCCACCAGTGCCACCGACACGGCACAAGGGGGCCGTCGACCTCGACAACCAGACTACTGGGCACCTGAGCCACGAATTTTCTCTGGTAAAACTGACGAAGACGTTGACGCTTGGCTAAAACACTTCGACAGAGTGAGCCGCTATTACGAATGGGGCGCACCGGCAAAGCTCGAGAACGTAGTATTCTTCCTTGCCGGGACAGCCTTGCTTTGGTTTGAGAACCTTGAACATGTCCTCCCCACTTGGGATATATTTGTTAAGGAACTGAAGGCCTGCTTTGGGGGCATGAGTTCCATGAAAAAGAAAGCTGAGCAAACGCTGTCACGTAGGGCTCAGTTGCCCAGCAAGACGTGCACAACCTACATTGAAGAAGTATTAAAGCTTTGCGGGATTGTCAACGCAAATATGTCTGACGAAGACAAAGTCGGTCATTGGTAAAAGGCATCGCCGAGGACGTGTACAATTTTTTATAACAAAAGAAAACTTGAACACTCCTTCGATTTTCAGGCAGCAGTGTCGCACATTCGAGGTGTTGAAGACCCGGAGAATTCTACCCAAGTTCGGGCGGTTAGACAATGTTCCCACTGTCGCAAGTATGGACGTCGCCACCTGCGAAGACATTCCCTTCCTCGTACGTTGGGTAGTTCGAGAAGAGCTCGTACGACTTCAAGCAGGTGACCTTCACCACCAATGCTCGTTCGCCGCGTGCCCCGAACCACCTCCCTACTGGATGCGAGAGTGCCGACCACGCACAGAAACTGCTGATTTTACCCCGCGGCTTCCGTTTTCCCAGACGGGTCGTGGCCACCACCGGATGTCATCATCTCGACGTGCCGCTGCGGACCTCCGACAGTCGTCAACCAGGCCTCTACCAGAAGATTACTATGCGTCATCACAAAATGTTCCTGCAGAGCACGACCCGTCTCCGCGTAGTTCTGCCACCTCTGCTCCTGCTAATGTAAGCCGACAAGTCCCCGTTTGCTACACATGCGGTCTCCCAGGGCATATTTCGCGCTTCTGTCCCAGACGGCCACCTGAACCGCCACGTTTTTCGACGTATCGGGTTCGTATGTACGAAACGCCTGCGCCGCCACGTTTTTCGACGCACCCGCCTCGTATGCACAAAACCTGGACCTCTCACCCGGCCGACCACCGTCCCCAACAGCAATGGCCTAACGAATTTCGCAGCGAGTCTCCCGCCTCTGAGCGAAGCCTGACGCCGCCTCCGACAATGTCCCGCCGGTCGCCATCTCCGCGTCGTTGGTCACCTTCCCCGCATCAGCTGGGAAACTAACTGGTGTGACCGATGGAGGTGCGGTCGCGAGACGGTCAGTTTTCCTTCTGCTGTGATGTTGATGAACAAAGTGCGTGTGTGTATAGACGGTGTAGATACTCTTGCTCTTGTAGACACTGGTACTGCTGTTTCGGTTATGAGCCTTCGTTCCAAACATCGTTTCTTGGGTCACAAAGTTATGTTCGCGTGGAATCGTAAAGAAACTTTTCGTGGAGTTGGAGGCGAAGCGTTAAGTCCTGTTGGTATTTTTTCAGTTGTACTCACGATTGGTGGACAAAATTTCCGAGTTGAATTCACTGTGCTGGCTCGCGCACCTCATAGACGTCATTTTAGAGATAGAGCTGCTTCATGAATGCGGCGCTACGCTTGACTGTGGAACTGGAGAGATTCTTCTACAAAGTACGTTGC